CCAACGGTATTGTATGTGGTTAAACTGCTAAAATATCTCACCGAAATCTAAGGTGATAAAACATTAGATACTCCTGGCCCGCAAGAGTATAAACTGTGTACGGTCAAAATAAGACAAATCAATGTATTGTATTGAGAAATTTCATATAACAAATAAATCTATTGTGTACGTCTAAAATAAGGCAAATCAATGTATTGTATTGAGAAATTTCATATAACAAATAAATCTATCACTGAGTGAAATTTCATAAATACATTATGTTCGGATGAATAACAAAAAGTGCATTCATTCAACAGCACGTTCCACAATACTGTGTTGTCCATTCTTCTTCTTGTGCTGGCTCAAAACATTCAGAGCAGTTTGCACGTCTTCCTCTAATTTAGAAATACTCTCGGAAGCTTGTGTAAAATCATTGCCAAGGATTCAAGCTGTTGGGGTGACGGACACAATCACTGCCAAGGACTCAAGCCGTTGGGGTGAAGGACACAATCACTGCCAAGGACTCAAGCCATTGGGGTGACGGACACATTTACTGCGAAGGTTTCAAGCCGTTGGGGTGACGGACACATTCACTGCCAAGGATTCAAGCCGTTGGGGGTGACGGACACATTTACTGCCAAGGATTCAAGCCGTTGGGGTGACGGACACATTCACTGCGAAGGTTTCAAGCCGTTGGGGTAACGAACACAATCACTGCCAAGGATTCAAGCCATTGGGGTGAAGGACACAATCACTTCACTGCCAAGGATTCAAGGCGTTAGGGTGACGGACACAATCACTTCACTGCCAAGGATTCAAGCCGTTGGGGTGACGGACACATTCACTGCCAAGTATTCAAGCCATTGGGGTGAAGGATGCAATCACTTCACTGCCAAGGATTCAAGCCGTTGGGGTGATGGACACATTCACTGCCAAGGATTCAAGCCGTTGGGGTGACGGACACATTCACTGCCAAGGTTTCAAGCCGTTGGGGTGATAGACACAATCACTGCCAAGGATTCAAGCCATTGGGGTGAAGGACACAATCACTGTCAAGGATTCAAGCCATTGGGGTGAAAGGACACATTCACTGCCAAGGATTCAAGCCGTTGGGGTGACGGACACATTCACTGCCAAGGATTCAAGCCGTTGTGGTGACGAACACAATCACTGCCAAGGATTAAAGCCGTTGGGGTGACGGACACAATCATTGCCAAGGATTCAAGCCATTGGAGTGACAGACACAATCATTGCCAAGGATTCAAGCCATTGGGGTGAATGACACAATCACTGCCAAGGATTCAACCCATTGGGGTGACGGACACAATCGCTGCCAAGGATTCAAGCCATTGGAGTGAAAGGACACAATCACTGCCAAGGATTCAAGCCACTCATTGCCATTAGGCTAGAAGGGGCAATGATACTTGCAAACAAACTCTGACGCCTTGCGTGTTGCCTACAAAAGAGATAAAAAGACATGAAATAATTGTTAACCAAAAAAAAAGAGAAGGAAATTAGTCATCATGATTCGTACAATTAAAATTCATTTGCACGAATCACGAGGGGGCAAGGCTGATTTGACTTTTAACAAAAAAATTTGGCCAATTGTATAAAGGGCTGCTACTAATACAAAATAAAATACAAGGTAGCAAGCTTAAAAAAATTTGTTCAAAAAAAAAAAAAGCCTGCTAAACAACACAGCAACGAACAGGTTGCTGCTGTAAAAAAAAGGGGACTGTCTTTGCAAAATTTGCTAATACATGTTAAAAAAAAATCTGCAACGAACAGGTTGCTGCTATAAAAAATAATTTTTCCTGTTATCATAAAAAAACAGGAAAAGTCTTTGTTTGGGCTCAAGTTTTTTTTAAAAACATAGCAGCAGCAAAACAGAGTAATCAAACTATGTAAATCTTGTGCTAGTTTGTTCCCCGAATGATAGGCAAAGTAACCTGTGTTGGTTGGTTCTATCAAAAGAACAAATAAAAAAAAAACAAAACAAAAGAAGAAAAAAAAAAAAGAAAAAAAAAGGGGCTCTTTTGTTTGTATAGGGCAAGGACTTTATCTGGGCTAGTTAAGTTCATGATTTAACAACAAAAAAAAAAAAAATATATATATATATATATAAGGCAGCAAGCAGATTAAACTGTGACCCAAAAAAAAATAAAAGAAAAAAAAGGGGTCTTTGTTCAGGAAGGACTTTGGGCTAGGAAAAATCTGCTTGAAAGGCAGCAGGTTTTTTGTTTAGGTTAAAAAAAGGACCTACAACTTTTGTTTATGAAAGAAGGCAGTAGGTTATGACTCATCCTTTCAAGAAGGGTCTTTGTTGGGACTACTTGGACTTAGGGTCTAGTAAAAATTTTTGAGAAGGGCTATCACATGGTGATATACATGTTGCAAAAAAATTCTGGTTGCATGAAAAAAAAAGAAAAAAAGGAAAAAAGAAGGAAAGCATACTTGATATGACCTTATGTTTTCTTAAAAGTATAAGAAGAACAATTTTTGCTGGAAGTATGAACGGATTAGAAGGGAATCTTTTGTGTTCACCAAGAATAAATTTTGCTGGAAAGGTGCTAGAAGGATGAAGACCTAATATCGCTACAAAATCTGCAGGGGAAAAAAAAAAAAAGGGCTGCAAGAAAAAATATATGAATAGGTGTTATATAAAGCAAAAAGTCTTGCTTAAGAAAAGAGGTAGTGGTCTCCTAAAATACTTCAAAGAAGCAAGAGTTTATGTAGGATTTGAAATACTCCATAGAAGAGTTTGTGTAGGATTAGAAATCTTACCAATGCCAACCCATCCTGTTCCATATAGACAAATTCCTAAAATATATATATATATATGTATATATATAAATTTCCTAAAAAAATAATAATAAAAATAAAATAAAATAAAAAAGTGGCAAGTTGGAGGCCCACAAAAGAAAAGGCCCAATTAAAAAAAATGGTGGCCTAGAAAAGGAAAGGTCCATTATGGCCTAAAAAAAAAAGAATCTGCTGTAAAAAGAAATGGTGGCAAGTTGGAGGTCCACAAAAGGAAACGTCTAATTAAATCTTGGACCTTACTCATGTCCCTTAAATAAAAAAAAAAAAAAAAAAAATCAAGTCCACAAAAAGGACCCATGCAACAAAAGAAAAAGGCCATGGTACATGGGACTGTCCAAAAAAAATGGCGGCAAGTTGGAGGCCCACAAAAGGAAATGTCCAATTAAATCTTTGGCCCTTACCCATCAATATCCATGATGACCTAAAAAAAAAAAGTCCAGGGACCAAAGCAAAGAAATAATCCCATCCAAGACCTAAAGATCATCCAGATAAAAGTGCCAAATTGTCGTGACTCGCACAGTTAAGAAAATTCACTTGTGCAAGTCACGAGGGGCATTTGTTGGCACATAAATTTTAAACCAAATTTATGTTTAAATTTCAAATAGAGTCAATGACACACATAGAGTCTACAATAAGATTGTTGTAGGCAATCACTTCCCAAAACGATTAACTTGCTCCGTTGAAGTGTATAAATAAAACGACGTCGTATCTTAACGACGTTATTCAAGATGCTCAAATGACATGTGGAGCCTACGAAAGATGACACTTGTAGAACCTACAGCAAGGACACCACACAGGATGAAACCCCAAAGATCAATCCAGTTAATCAGATATACGATTAATCAGATAGCGCTATTATTCAAAATTTAATTGGTGCTATCATTCAATTTGAAATTCAAATTGAAGATGAAGCATTCCTATCACCTGATGGCCCTTCATAAATATGAGGACCATCACACAAGACGGGGGGAAGAAAATTAGAAGTGAAAAGATCAGAGAGAGAGAGAGAGAAAGAAATTGAGAGCTAAACAAATCGTTACAAAAAAGGAGAGAAGCCTGAGAATTCAAGAGCCTATGCTAATGGCGATGAATAGGTAAAGGGTTCCAAACCCAAACTGTATTTTGTATTCGAGGGTTCAAAACCCATAACAATCTCAATAAAATATTTCTTTTTTTTTTTTAAATTGTCTTTTGTTGTTTATTTTGTTCTTCATTAATCGGAGGTTTCATTTGTATGAAATGTATAATTAACGATCTAAAATACAGATCGGAAATAAGAACCTGCTATTCAAATAATCAACACTGTTTAGTTTTTTAACTAAACAGTGGACATTTGTAACATAAAATTTTGAAATGTGTTGAAACACTTCATGTTTTAAAATTTGTGTCTACAAACATATACTAGTAGCTTGGTACCCATGGGTCATGACTTTTAATCTGCTGGCCTAGCTGTGTATGCTTTTTTTTTGAAACATTTGGTCTCACCGGGCGTTTTAAGTTGAAATATGATTAATATTGTAAGTGAACATTCAGGGAATTGACTAACCAAAAGATATTCTTGGAATTAAATGGATTTTATTTTCTATGTACTTGTGATCAGCTACATTCATCCTTTGTCCTTGACCTTAGGGTTTTTTTTTTTTTTTGGTTTTAAATCATGGGTTGCCATTTCTTAGTTTTCCCTCTGGTGCCTTTGAGACTGGGTGCAATTATTGGTCTTTTTGCTTATGAGAAATATATCTTCCGTGACGTTCTCTAAATTCTTTCTGAGATGCATTCATATTTTAATAATCATCTCTTGTATTGCCAGTTGCCGCATCTCTTTCGCAATGCTCTGGACTTTTTTCCATAAAAAATCATTACGTTCTTGCTGATCAGAACATTTAATTCAATTTTCTCGAAATTTATTTTTGGTAATCTGATGGGGTGATTTAAATCAAGTTCTGAATGGTTTCTATCAGAACAAGATCTGGTTTGTTTGAGAATAAACTTTTTTTTCCCTTTCATTTGTGAATGAACTCTTTTCACTTGTTATTATAATTTACATGGAGGGTTGCATCAAGCTGGCATCTTTTGTTATAATTTTTTAAATCTTTGGGACCTCATTGTGATGCATCAAATTATTTTTATTCTATTTGAGTTCAATTTTTAAAAATAGTCTGTCAGAATTCACATCCATTACATGTTTTAAATTGTAGGTGTGGCAAGAGTTTTGGATTACTGGAGATTGTGATGGACGAGGTGTCCCCATATCAAACCCAGATGGTCCCCTAGATCATGACCTTTTCTTGCTATGTGCAAAGGACACTGTCAAGCTTCTGAGGAATCATCCTAGTCTTGCTCTTTGGGTGGGGGGAAATGAACAAGTTCCACCAGAAGATATCAACACAGCTTTGAAAAATGAACTGAAACTCCATCCATTGTTTGAAAACTCAACTGAAAATAGCAACTCAAAAGAAGATAGGTCCGAAGTCTTGAAGGATCCGAGCCAATATCTTGATGGTACGCGCATTTACATCCAAGGATCCATGTGGGATGGCTTTGCAAATGGGAAAGGAGATTTCACTGATGGCCCATATGAAATTCAATATCCTGAAAGCTTTTTTAAGGATGACTTTTACGAATATGGATTCAATCCTGAGGTTGGCTCAGTGGGAATGCCTGTTGCAGCTACTATCAGAGCGACAATGCCTCCAGAGGGGTGGCAAATTCCATTGTTCAACAAGTTACCTGATGGCTATGTACAAGAAGTTCCAAACCCCATATGGGAATACCATAAATACATCCCTTACTCGAAACCAAGTGTGGTTCATGATCAGATTTTACTATATGGAACTCCCAAGGATCTTGACGATTTTTGTCTCAAGGTAAACAAAAATTTCTCTATCAAATTAGGATGCTTTTAATCTCCTTTTCTTTCTGTTTCTTGTGTTGACTTGTGCTAAATAATCTTCTCAGGCTCAGCTAGTTAACTATGTTCAGTACAGAGCTCTGTTAGAGGGCTGGACTTCCCGTATGTGGAGCAAATACACTGGAGTTTTGATTTGGAAAAATCAGAACCCTTGGACGGGGCTTAGAGGTCAGTTTTATGACCATCTCCATGACCAAACAGCGGGGTTCTATGGCTGTCGCTCCGCAGCTGAACCAATCCACGTTCAGCTGAATCTTGCAACATATTTTGTTGAGGTAACTTGTGTTTTTTTAGTAATTTTAATAGTTGATTAAGTTGTCAAGAAACTCATTGATTACAGTTTTCTAATTTTCTTGTTAAATTTAACATGAGGTTTTGGTTGACATTGTTTAAAGTAAAATCTTACATAGAACATATTGAAACAGGAAATGCATTAACATGTAATAAATAAGAACTCACATATTTAAAAAGTTTCCGCAGATGTAGAAGTTTAATGCCTAGAATGATTTAAAATCTTGCAAATTTGTGCTTCAGCATAATGTTATGTTCCTAACCAAATAATGTTTCAAGGAACATCTTTGAGCTTATTGCAACCAACTCAGGCTATGTTTGGGTTATGGATTTAGGTTTGGGGGATTTGGAAATTAGTTTAAATTTCATCCAAACATAGCCTTACTGTTATGATTTGGAAGAATTCATGGCCCTTTTACCGCCTGCCATATGCAGGTAGTTAACACTACATCAGAGGAACTATCTGATGTCGCTATAGAAGTCTCAGTGTGGGATCTGGAAGGAACATGTCCATACTACAAAGTTTCCGAAAAGCTTTCTGTTCCGTCTAAAAGAACAGTACCTATTTTTGAGATGAAATATCCGAAGTCCAAAAATCCAAAGCCAGTCTACTTTCTCCTTCTCAAACTCTACAATATATCAGACTACGGCATTTTATCTAGGAACTTTTACTGGTTGTATCCTCCGGGTGGAGATTACAAACTATTGGAACCATACAAGACCAAGAAATTACCTCTCAAGATAGAATCTCATGCTTTCATTGGAGGATCCACTTACGAAATCCAGATGCATGTACAGAACACGTCAAAGAAGCCAGACTCAAAAAATCTACTCTACAAGAACAGTTTCATTGAAAGAAATGATGACAGTGATTTTGATATGTCATCACTTGAACCCATGCATAGCAGGATCGAGGAAAAACAGGAAGGTGGTTTAATTGGGAGGATCTTCAATCACTTCTCGAGTGAAACCAATGGTTTGAGGGTTACAGAAATTAATGGGTCCGAGGTTGGAGTTGCTTTCTTTCTCCATTTCTCTGTTCATGCTTCAAAAACAGATCACAAGGAAGGGGAAGACACAAGGATCCTTCCCGTTCATTATTCTCACAACTATTTCTCGTTGGTACCGGGTGAAGAGATGTCAGTGAATCTCTCTTTTGAGGTCCCACCAGGTGTCACTCCACGAGTTACACTTCATGGCTGGAATTACCATGCTGGGCATACTGTTTACTGATACAGCAACCAACTCTTGAGCATTCCCAAATGTTGGAAATAAATAAGGCCTTGCCTCGACACTCGTGATTTTCTTATTTTTATCACATGTTGTAACATTTGTTATTGTAATTGAAACAGGGAAAACATTCAAAGGCCCTTCAATTGAACCGCCTTCTTCCCAAGTGTGGCATTGATGCTTGTGCGTGACAATCCTTGCCTGGTATGTATTCTGCTTTGTTTTAATCCCAATTGTCGATTAAACTTCCAGGCTGCTACATGAGTGGTGTTATATATATGCAAAATTTAATTATTAATTTTTATTGGGTTAGTGTGGCAGCATTTTGGGTATCCTCTTGATAAAGTTTTACTTTTGAACCTGGAAAATATTCAGTTTTGTTTGGTTATGTTTTTGTTTTTATTTTTGTTTTTCATGTTTTCGGAAAACATTTATATATTTTTAAAGTTTTTTTCACAAATTTTGTATTTTTAAGTGTATCTAAATTAAGTGGATGTAAAAAATAAAAAATAAATTGATTAAAAAATAAAAAACATTCACTAAAAGGAAAGGAAAAAAAAAAAAGGATTGACAACTCAAAAAATTATTTATGAAAACTCCAAGAAGAAATTTTATGTTGTCTCCAAAATTATCACTCAATAATTAATTCAAACTGTCTTTTTAATTATATTAACTAGTCTATCACCCGTGCTATGCACGGGATAATTATAGATATTTTATATTTGTTTTAGATTTTTTTAAATATATAAATTATGTTTTTTAAGATTTTTTTTTAAAAATAATTTAACAATCTTATCACTAACTATAGTGTGTGGGAGAAGTTGAAAAGAGTATTGCAGTAATTATACATGGATTGTATCTATAATTATTTGTATGATGGAATTTTAAATGCTGATTAGGGAATTTTGACCAAATCAATAAATGCAGGCATATAGAAAGACATGTGGATTGAAAAAAATTAATAAATGTTGATCAGAGAATTTTGACCAAATCAATAAATGCTGAGATTTTTTTTTTAAATAAAAAATAAAAAATTTAGAAAATTCAGATTGGGATATTGAAACTCTCACAGGTCTTGGGGGTTAAAAATCTCATTTTGCTTAATATATAGTAGTAGCATATCACCCGTGCTATGCACGGATTGTGTTCACAATTATCTATATATGTGAATTGGGATTTTTAATTTTTTTTTAAATGTCTTCTTTTTTCTTTTTTTATATTATATTAAAGTTTAATATTTTGATAATAATCATATGTGCTGGACTTTTCAAGGAGTTAAATGTCTTTTTTTTATTATATTATATTAAAGTTTAATATTTTGATAATAATCATATGCGTTGGACTTTTTAAGAATTTTTTTTTATGCTTGCTCTTAATGCATTAAAATGTTATTATGAGGGATAATAATCATATGCGTTGGGACTTTTCAAGGAATTCATATGTGTTGGATTTCAAAGAATTTTTTTTATGTCTGTTCTTAATGCATTAAAGTGTTATTATGAGAGTAAGACTTGGGAGTTGGGAGAAGTTAATAAATGCTAAGATTATTTTTTTTTTTAAATGAAAAGATCAGGAAATTTAGATTAGGAGATTGGAGCTCCCATAAAAATCTCTTTTTGTTTAATATATAGTATAGATTTGACCATTGCTGTTAATTACAATCTAAATCAGACAGAATTTATTAATGTGACACCAAAACTTTATTTAGAACTTTATTTTATCCATCAAACTATTTCTAAATATTAATTAAACCCTTGAATATATATAAAAAATTTAATATTTAATAAATAAATTTTTATCTAAAAAAGTAAGAAAAATAAATTTTAATGATAAGCTCTACAAAAAAAAAATAAAATAAAAAATCTCATTTAAAATTATCGCGTTAAAACAAATTAATTGAGCTCAAAATTTTTAATTTACCTTATCTAAATTTGTCGCTTTAAGTCTTAAATTATCTTAAGCAAGTCCTAAAAAAAAAAGAGAAATTTTACTTACACCACAAAATTTTCTCTTTACACTCTTAAAAATTTTAATTTTAATTTTAATTTTTTATAATTTTTATAACAATCCCACTATGTATCTTGAAATTTTCGTGACTCGAGTGGTCTGAAATTCCAAATGACGTCGTTTTGGCTCCCTCTTCTTTTTATTTTATTTTATTTATTTTATTTTTTCTATAACTCACTGAAGAAGAAGAAAGAAGAGAAGAGGAAAAGAGCAGAAAAAGAGAGAGAATCATCATCATCAACCAAAAATCAAACCTACCTAACACATTATCATCGACATAGCAGAGAGAGAGAGAGAATCATCATCATCAACCAAAAATCAAACCCACCCAACACATCATTATCATCACACAGAGAGATCAACCAAAAATCAAACTCACCCAACACATAGAGAGAGATATAGAGAATGAGAGATATATATATATATAGAGAGAGAGAGAGAAAGATAGATACACAGAGAGAGAGATATAGATTTGTGTATATACATACAGATCTATCTGTGTATACATACAGAGGATGGTGGGTGCCAGTGATGGTCTGTTCCCCTCTCCTCTTCTCTTTTCCTTCTTATTCCCTCTTCCTTCTCTCTCTCTTTTTTCCTCCCTTTCTCTGTTTTAGATATAAAACGGGCAAAAAAAAAAAAAATTCCAAAATGACGTCGTTTTGGATTCGGGCCACTCAAGCCACGGAAATTTCAAGCTCTGAAGCATTTTTCTTTTTATAATACCATAACTACTATCATTCATACCTTCTACTCTTTTGCTTATTGTTTCTTCAGATCTATGGATATAGACACGATGATGAGCATCATCCCGTCTGGATCGATAGAGAACTTCTGCAGGGGCAATACTTGCTCGTTCTGCCATAGATAATTGGAGCTGTGACTCCGGTGCGATTTGTTGTTCCAAGGTATTCGATGCTGGTTGCCTTCCTCTAAACCTTTGGAGTAGTTTCTTGGCCTTCCTTTCTCGCACATATCTTGCCCTTTGACCTTGTCGATACTCTCGTATTTGGTCTTCGACGAGAGGTGCTCCTGGGGCTGCTGATGTCTGTTGAGGACGATCTGTTACTCTTGGAAGAGTAACCGTTCTGGATGAGGCACTTCTGGACATCATTTTAGCTTCGCCTTTTCAATTTCTTCTTGTAAGAGCTTCTGGATCTGGGTTTTTATTTGTCGGATCAAGGCCCAATCTTGAGAATTTAATCTCCTTTCTCCTTTTGGACTTACCTTCGAATATAAGGGGCTGAGAAGTCGGCCCATATTCTTGATATAAGCCCGGGCATAATTTAATAGGCCAAGCCATGACCTTAGGCCCTTTGTTTCCTTCAAGGTTTCATCAGGAAAATCAGCCACTTTGGAAATTATATGGGGCTGGAGTTTTATTTCACCATGGCCTATTGTTGAGCCCAAGAAGTCCATTTGGGCTTGTGCAATCTTCATCTTTGTTGGGCTCAGAATGAGCCCATGCTTCTGGCAAATACTAATCATTGTCTGAATATGATTAGCATGACTCTTCTCGTCAGGAGAGAATACTAATATGTCATCAATATAAACCGCGATGTATTCCTCAGTGCCTTTGAAGCAATTATCCATTTTTCTTTGGAAAACCGCAGGGGCATTCTTCAGACCGAACGGCATGACTAGCCATTCATAAAGACCAAGAGGGGTCCAAAATGCAGTCCATTCAATGGAATTTGGATGCATTGCCACTTGATGGAATCCACTCTTAAGATCAAATTTGGAATAAATATTACTATGACCAATTTTTGCCATAATCGTATTTATCCCTGGCAGACTATACTGATCCTTGTGAGTATTATCATTAAGGCGTTTGTAATTGCAAACCATCATTTCCTTTCCTCGTTTTTCTTCTTTGGTTATAGGATCAATATACGTACCTGACTGGACTATGAAAGCCGTAGTCCTATGTCTGCTTTTACTTGGACGAATCACCTTTAATTCCAGCAATTGATCAATGTGCTTTTGAAAACTCTTCTTCATTGCTGGTGTAATATGTTTCATGGGTTTATCATCAATGATAAAATCAGGATTCTTCAGATCCAATTTGCAGGTGATTTGATTCTTCATCCATAACTTCATAGGATCTTCTCCTATTATTCCCCCAGTGTGTAGTTGCTTTATCACCTTAGGGTACTTTTCTTCAAAACTGGACCCAGGCATTGTATGGAAAATCCATTCTTCAGGGTGATCATAGTAATGATCTATGACCAATTCATCATCTTCATACTGGGCTTCTTCAAGGAGGTTGACAGACTGTCGGGTTTGTATGGTAATAACATTCTTATAGAATGTTACACTGTCTCCTTCAATTCGGACGCCACCATACATAGATCGAATGAAATTACAGCCTATGATCATCTGTATACGTCCTCCAAGATGAAAAGGAAAACTGTATGTGTAGGGGATGCGAAACCAATTATCCCCAATATACATCTTCCCTCCTTTAAGCTTCTTATTTGCTTTGGACCGTGAATTAATACCATTGAATTCCACAGTGTAGGAATTATCTTCCAAAGCATCTTCTGGTACTGAGTCCGAATCAACAACACAGGTGGTAGCTCCTGTATCTAGGATTGCATTCAACGTTGTTCGTTGTGATCCAGGAATTTCGATCTCCACCGTAATATTGTAGAGCATGTTTTTCTTTTTCTCCTTTACTTCCCCTTGAGCAATAGTAAAGGCATTTAAATGCTCTTCTGATGTAGTTCCTTCTACCTTTTCTGCAGCTTCAGCTTCCTTTTGAAGAATCTCTTTTTCTTCATCCTTATATTTCCCTTTGTGTTTTAGTTCATTCGCATCTTTTTCCAATTGTATGGAGAGCCGAAGATCTTCAAGTTCTGTCTTGTACTTGGATACTTCATCCTTCAGCCGGCTCATCTCCGATTCACACCACTGAATATACTCTTGTTGTTGTTGGAGTAGAGGCTTCTGATTATATTGAACTGGAGCTCTTGACTGCATTACAAATTTTGAGAACTTGAAATATGGAACAGCACATAGAGCACATGTAATTGCATTACATTTTGGGCAGAATGCTCTTGACTGGGCTGTTAAATCTCTACGGCACGTTGTGCAGTCAGGTCTTCTATCCGGTGGTAGGGGCTTTTCTTGTTCCCAAGTATGTGAACAATGATATACCTCTGGAGAGACTTGCTTTTGTGCACGATATCCTCCTGCTTCTCCGAGCAAATACTTATTGGAGTCTTCATGGAGCATATATATTGTTTCAATGCTCCCACCAATCTGTTCTGTGTCATCGATGCCTTCTGAGACTGA